CATGCTGAACTGCAGAAGGGAGACAAAGCGGAGTCTCCATACGATTCGTGGGGTGAAAACCAGGGTTACGTGCGTCCCTTTTTTTTTTTTTTTTTTTTTGGGACAAAGCAAGTAAACATAGGATCCCGTTCTTTTTGGTGCAGCTCGCGTGGGCGGAATCTGGTCGGCTTTACGTAGAAAGAGCGGCGCCGAATCGCTGTCCTTGCCTATCGTCGAATGTAAATAACCGTTCTCCACAGGGCCCTCGCTCCCCTACTCACCACATGCACAAAAGACAAAAAATATGTTGGCGAACCTTTCCATGTTCTAGCGGAAGACTCATTCTACAAGTGCACGTTTGATGAGTAGCGGAGCGAGGCCGTATGACTGCTATGGGGCATGTCTGGAGCTTGGGATGTTTTTTTTTGTTTAGCTTGGGATTTTTTATTTTTTATTTTTTTTAAAGACTAATTCTTTAAGACCAACCAATTCAATTACCTGTCAAATCTGGACAGGACGGCCTTTCAGGCCTTTTTTATTGTCATTATAGTATTACGGGGAACCCCGTAGCAGCCACATCCGTGCTCAAGCCTCCAAGGAGGGAACATGCCGGAGCTGCACCCACCAGCAGGTGCGATACCTGCTACAGCAGGTGGGCGATACCGGCCAGGGGTCAGCCGGTAGCATCAGGACCGAGTTTCTTCGATGGGCCAGTCACTGTGCCTCCCCTCCGGTCCCCTCCCCCTATGAACATCAGCAGTCTCTGCTCAATGCCACTGGGGGGGACCAACGGCATATCTCTAGGTGGCGGGCGCGAAGCTTGCCCAGGAAGGTACATGAGGCCAATGGGGATTGAACCCAAGACCTCCTGAATGCCACTTGCGTGCCTTACCAACTGAGCTAGGCTGCTGGATTCTTGGGATGTTTTGATCAAACGTTAGGGCCTCAAAAAAAAAAAAAAAAAAAAAAGTTAGGGCCTCGCCACACCACTCTCAGCAGCCTGAGCAGCCAACAACAGGGCTAACCGGGGGCAAGGTCCCACTTGCACGGATTAGGAGAATCTGGCCGTTGATCTGTGCTATCTACGCTCAATATCGCTTAATTCATGTAAGTGGGACCTGGTAGATGTGAGAGACACAGCAACTTCATTAGATCATTCATCAAAAAGCGGCGTCAACCATCAAGCAGGACAAGTGACATGAAGAAGACCCGGGCTAGCCGGGGACGAGGGGGGAGAGAGAGAGAGAGAGAGAGAGAGAGAGAGAGAGAGAGAGAGAGAGAGAGAAGCCGAAAAACATAATACGCAGATATGAAAAAAAGCCCGAACGCGACGAAAAATCGTAGGATACATCAATGAAGCATAGCGGTAGGACCCGACTAGTTTCGGTTGGCCCGCCAACCAACCATCATCAGGGGTCTTGTCGTCGTGCAGATGTATCGTGATACTCGACGACTGCGTATATATGTGGACTGGACAGTGACGGAAAGAAGACCCTAGGGAAACCATCGAGTACCAACTAAGGTCTAAGAACCAAAGTCCCACGAAAAGGCCTGACAAAGCCCAGTCCTCAAGTCAAGACCTACCGGAAACTCAACAAAAGCTCAGCTACGTTCCACAGATTCGAAGCATCGTCACGGTCACGAAAGGAACAAAAGCTAGAAACAAAAAACTAAAGAAATCCAATGTTTGAACCGTCGTCGAACCAAAAAACACTGAGATCCTAGAGTAGAGGCCCAGAAGTCAACCGATCAAGACCACCAGCCGAAGGTAGAAAAAATATCATTCGAACATTGAAAAGACTCGGCATGTAGTCAAAGGATGACAGACTTGAACCGTAAACCTATTAGTCGGAAAAAAACAGAAAACCACAGGTCAAAGGTTCAAGTCCCTCAACTCGAAGGTCCGAGACAATATACCATTATTGCTCAGATGAAAAAGAACTCCAAAAAAAGCAGCTACCACGCTGCAGAGTTAATCAGATCAAGTAACTCTTGCACGACACTTCAGTGAACACCTGTCCCATTTCGTCAAACTCATCAACTAGTGATCCCAACATCCAGAATACTTCCTCGAAAAATTTGTAAGAGCCGAATCGAAAAAACAGTTGGGGTAGCCCCTCAGCCATAGCTCATGCTTCAAAGTTAACAGGAAGCCAAGTTCAGTGTCCGGTACATAAGAGAAGGTCCGGGCACGATGGAGAAAGGAAATAATGACAGCCATTTTCTGTTGGCGACTTGAATGGATTGAAAGACCAACCCATGTTCGAGAATACCACGCTGGTTCTTGTGTGTAGCAAAACAAACTACCTTATTAGGAGAAACCTTAACCACACAGTCAATATAATCTCAGCAGTTGCCGTTCTTAGTTTGTTCAAGAACCAGATTGGAATCGTAGCATCCTTGGAAACGAGAGATGATAGAGTGCACCCGTTCACGATCAGAAGGTGAAGGAGAAGTAACTTTGACAAAGATCGAAACATCGTCGACAGCACGAAAACCAAAGACCAACTTGCGATCAGCGCCGAGAGAGTATAAAAAATAATACTCATTATATGCACATAGCAAACAGGCAAGCACGGGGCTGGTCGTTTTGCCCATTGGAATGCCCACAGCCTGTTTCAAGAGCAAACCAACAGCGACAACATAAGTATGATCCAACTCATAGGATACGAAACGGACAACTTCATCAAATCTGATAAGAACCCAACCATTCTCCTCTCGTCCCTTCGTTAATCTAGCAAGCTTACCATGTGATCGGACCAAGATGCCTGAATAGCCTTCGCCATACCAGTAATCAGTCACCCATCGCACAACAGTCAAAATGGAAGGATGCAACAAATTAGAGAACATTTCCTTAATATAAAAAAGAAGCACCCAACAGCTGCTCACCAGTCTTCACGTCTTGTTGACAGAAGCGATGTCAGAGACAAAGTCGTTGGTACGTTTCAAGTTAAAATGAAATCCGCCAGGAAGTCGCCATAGCATCTCGTTTAATGCATACGTCATTTTGCGACTGCATATAACCCCTCCTTCAGCAAACGTAAGACAGATAGGTCGCCAACGAGTTACATCCTTATGCTTGGGTATGCAATAAGCATCGCCAAGATCTCCGTGCTTATCCCATTTTCCGATGCGATCAAACCTAGCAGTTTTAAAATCATTGCAACAGTCCTCTAAGACAATTGACTTAGCAGCATCTACTCGGAGAAAAGCAGGGTTACGTATAAAATCATTGCAACAGCCAGGATTATGGTCAATAGGGCAGCGAACCAAACCATCAAGGTGGACAAGGAGAGCTCGAATCGTATCAACCGTACAAGGCAAGAGAGATAGATCAGAGAGAGAAGGAGAAGAAGTTGAGAAAGAAGAAGAAGAGAAAGAAAAAAAAAGACAATGAAAAAGAAGAAGAAGAAGAAGAAGAAGAAGAAGAAGAAGAAGAAGAAGAAGAAGAAGATGATGAAGAAAAACAAGAAGAGGAAGATGAGATAGAAGATATACAACGTGATAATGACTTGTTGTTGAGCAAAGGATGACATGTAGAGAGACAAAGCTGTGGGATAGAATGAAAAGATTCAGTGATCTGTCTTCGGAGATTACCAATAATTGCAGACTGTGAAGGTTTGACAATATTGCGAGAATTAGACAACCATTCGGGAAAGAGTTTTACTTCGCTCAGACGAAATGCAACGTGCTCCCCAATACGGGGGAAGGATTGATCAAAATAGGTGCAGGAGCATGCATGAGGTGAAGCACGAGAGATCGAGTGGAAATTGTGTAGGAAACTATCGATGGTGCGATTCTTCTGCCAAACAAGTCTTAACCTTCGAATAAGTACTGGTTTCCAAACCTCCTCAACATCAAGTTGTCGGATCAACTCAACACAAATTCTTCGGATCTCCGTTTTGCAAAGCGTATCATCATAAGTAATCTTCACGACCAAACGTCGGCGAATATGGAGATTGAAACGAGAAGAAATAGCCTTAGATAAGATAAGCCGGAGCCGAAGTCGTGCACGCTTCTCTTGAAAGAACCGAATAGCAGAAAATGACAGTACCAACTTTTCGAGACTCCAAATCAACAACTGTCGGCGTGAGGGAGGGTTACCAAGAAAGTCAACGAGTAGCGACTTAAGAGACAGTGCTCGACAACTATATGAAACAATAGATCGAAAGATAATGACTGAACCCTCCTTAATGAAACTCCGAGAATAGCAAAGCAAATCCTGGGCAGATCCACAAGAAACAATAGAATTACCGAAAGATCGTTTCAACACCTTTCAATTGTCGGTCAACAATGATCCACCACGACATGCAACAACCATGCTATCGATGTCGTCTCTAGTGGCCAAGTTAAGTATACCCAGCAAACTAACAGAGGAGAGTCTAGTGGATGAGTGAAAAGTCAAAGGAGCGGAGATTAGAAACGAAGAAGACGAAACCAAGGAGGAAGAGAAAGAAGCAGAAGGAAGAGAAAGAGAAGAAGATTCTGCAATGTAAAAAGTCAGAGAATTGACCTTTCCACTACGGCCAAAGCGCCGCCTACGTTCCCGGTTTCCTGGTCGTCGTCGTCGAGGTTTACATATACGTCCTCGTGTATTAAGAGAAACACCAGATCTTCTAATGAAAAGGGATTCTACCCTCAACAGATCCGCAGAAGAACAGAAACATACAGGAATAGCTACGTAATGCTTGATCCCGCTTCGTCAAAGCCATCCATACAAACGCTCATTACGAGAAGCCTTCGAAATAAGATTAGAGTTACACGCACGGTAAACATGTTCATTCCATCGTGAATGAATATCCCGACCTGTACTACCGATGTACACATGCCTACACCAGGGGGATACCAAAAGATATACCAAGGGTCCATCATCACGATCACAGTTAGTACTCCAAGCATTCAAAATACATTGACTGAATTTAGAGGCCCACGGAATACAGTTGGAAAGAATCAAAGCAATCACCACGACCTGCAGAAAAGAATTCAGTTCTCGGCAACGAAGAAAAGAAACAGATGATGAACGCAAACGGCAACATCGTCGCAAAACTGCCCATAGTTGAGCCGCGTCCGGGAGGGATCCTAAGAAGCAGCAGAATCTCCCCCGACCTCCTTAGATGAACCATCTCCAACCAAGTCGTCCGAGACATCAATTGAGTCCATTGTAGCAGGAGGAAACGCCTGCAAAACCCGTTTGGCCACAATCTCATCGATGCTTTGTCGTATATTAACATACTTGATGCCTTCTTCAGTGCATATTGCCATTAGGTTATCCTTCGTTTGCGGAAGTGCTTTGCGAGTCTCCCTGATAAAAGTTTCCCGATCATTGAGACGAACAGGAGTCTGAGCGGTTCTCTTCTTCTTTCCTTTACCCGAACCTATAACAACCTCGTCCAAACGTTCCCTAAGATTGGATCTTGGAGTATGACCCACTTTGTCCGCTTCCATCTGCAGAATCTTCCGCTTCGCAAGTTCCAGTTCTTGTTCTGCTTTCCGTCTTCCGTTGAGTTCTAGCAAACGAAGCTCCTTGAGCTTGTCGACTTCCATCTGGTGTAATTGTTTGAGTTCCTTGTAGTCAACTCGTACCGCAGGGGTCTTGGTAGGCGTGACGCGGGACAACATCGTTGCCTGGACACTTGGGGTGGACAGGGCCACGCAACCCCACTTGGAACCCGGTCGAATCGCTTCCTGTCACCATGCCTCGACTTCGACCTTGGCATCATCTCGAGCTTGCCGAAGTATCTCAATTTCCTGCTCCATCTTCTCCAAACGTCTTCTAGCAGCTGCAACTTCATCGAGTTGGACCTTCATCCTCTCTTGCTCCGCCATCAATTTTGCGAGCACGTCGTCGTTGGTTTGAGCCTTCGCTATCGGAACAGCAGTGCGGAACGCCTCAGTCTTGTGCGATAGATCAATCTCGTCCAGCCTCTTGCCAGATAGTGCCAAGCAAACAGTATCTTATCTCTTGTTCATATTATCCATCATCGACTTGTTCAGTTCTTCTCTCTCCAATTTCTCCTTGGCTCTCCACTCTTCGTCCTCCTTCTCTTTCTTGATTCTGTCTTCTTCAACTTGTTTGTTATTTTCTCGTTCAATCTCCGCATCGTGTCTGACTTTGATCGCAGCCACCGTGCTTTCTAAGTATTCTAGTCGCTGACGTGCCTGATGCCAACCGTTACCCTTAGCATAATTAGAGGTATTCTGATACCCACCTACCACGTGCGAAACGACAGCAGACGAAGGCCCAACACCACTAGCAGGAGTAGTAAGAATGGGAGTAGACACAGGAACGAGAGCAGAACTGGATTGAGCTTGACGAGGGGGGTGAGGACACCATCGAACAAAATGGTTAGGATCACCACAGTTATAGCAAATACGAAAAATAGAAGATGAGGGAAAGTTAGACGCCATCGTGAAAGACAAATGAATAACTAACTAAAAAGTCGAAGCCACACAATCACGTAGTATGATTCCTACGGAGGTTACTTCGTGAATCGAAGTAGATGTGAGAGACACAGCAACTTCGTTAGATCATTCATCGAAAAGCGGCGTCAACCATCAAGCAGGACAAGTGACATGAAGAAGACCCGGGCTAGCCAGGGATGAGGTGGGCCCGGGGACGAGGTCCTATTAGCATAGAGGATTGGATTCAGCTCCCGAACCTTGACGTGTTTTAGCCAAAGATGCAGAAAAGCAGTTCAATCTCGAATCTCTGCACGTGTCGAACGAACAACACGTGCAGAGATTCGAGATTGAACTGCTTTTCTGCAACACGTCTAGATTCAGGCGTTCAATCCAATCCTTGTTGCTTGTGGGACCTGCCCCCGAGTTGTTAGGTCCCGGTCTATTTGCTCTTACAACACATATTCAAGCTTCCAAAAAAAAAAAAAAAAAAAAAAAAAAAACCTTGAAGTTGCCGTAGAGCCTACGTCTCATTTTTAAAAAAAGGGCGCGCAGGACTCAGAAAAGGGCGGGGAAGGGGAAGGAGGGGAAGGGGAAGGGAAGGGGGCTGCCCCCCCGCGCCTTCACGAAAAAAAGGGCGGGCGCTGTCCGAGCGTGGAACGTAGCGAGGGGATATGGCCGAGCCACCACTACTCAACATTCTGCATGCATTTGGACGCCTTTGCTGTATCGGGGGGCCAACATTTTCATTTTTTCGGCACGATTTTATGAGTCTAGCGCAGTTGAATACACCCACGAACGGGAAAAAAAAACAAAAAACAAACACCCACGAAATACAGTACAGACTCACGTTCGAATCCAGATACAATTTTTTTTATTTTTTTTTTCCCCGAATCCAGATACAATCAGATGCGCAGAATAACATAATTCTGGGGTACCCAAAAAAAATAAAAAAAAATAAAAAAATTTCTGGGGTACCTGGAGCCGGTCAGCTTCAGTGATGATATCACTAGCGACGCTATGGATCGTCGCTATAGGGTCGAAAGCGGCCCTGTAGGTTATCTGCCTGGCTATGTGTTCATGTGTAGACAAGACGGCCTGACCTTCATCGACGTCTATGCACGTTTGAGTTTTTTAAATGCATCTTCTTCTTCTTCTTCTTCTTCTTCAGTTCTTGTTCTTTGTGCGCGTTGAGCATGCAAGTCCGTGTAGGAGATGTACTCTTTCTCTCATTGAGCATGGACGCATAGCGGTCGGCCTCGTTATTTCAATTCGATTCAATTCTTCTTCGAGTTGGGGTTTTTAATTTCCCGAAGAATCTGAGCTATGGCCGCGTGCAGCGAAGTTTTCAGTCATTAGTACTCGTTACCGCCCCGCGCACAGTAGATTGACCGCACCGTGACGGATGACGTCAGCCTTTATCAACGCGATCTCTTTGTCACCAGGTCGCAAAGAGGTCCACGTGTAGCTCATTGTTCTTGGACATGCAGATCGTCTTCTGTCACGCGTCTCTGTAGTCTGATCGCCGATGTTTCCATCTTGTCTTGGTTGATTGTTTTGCGTGAACTTGGACGGGAACATCGCCGATGTTTCATCTTGTCTTGGTTGATTATTTGCGTGAACCTGGACGGGAAGATCGCCGATGTTTCCGTCTTGTCTTGGTTGAGTGTTCTGCGTGAACCTGGACGGGAAGATCGCCGATGTTTCATCTTGTCTTGGTTGATTAAGTATTTGCGTGAACCTGAACGGGAAGATCGCCGATGTTTCCATCTTGTCTTGCTTGATTGTTTGCGGTGAACCTGGACGGGAAGATCGCCGATGTTCGCGCACGTACCTGGCTATCTTCTGTTCGTTCGTCGTCCACTTGGCTGTCCCCATCTCCTGTTCGCTTTGCCTGATCGCGGACGTTCCCATCTTGATCTTCGCAGGCTGATTGCATGACAAGAAGAGCGCCACGTGGCTGTCACCTGTGGCATCGTCTATTTTCTTTCTATTTTCTACTTTCTGTGGGAAATGATTGGACGTGATCGGAAGGGGTGTCATCAAATCAACGGCCAGAAAGGCATGGAGAAGGCTGAGGCGAGCAAAGACGAACCTTGATTGGCATCTGAGAAAGCAACGGTGTCGATTGACATCTGGAAAGGGTGGGGACAATCGCAAGGGGATAAGGGATAAGCGAACAGATTGGCCAGGTACGTGCACGAACATTGGCGATCTTCCCGTCCAAGTTCACGCAAACAATCAAGTGGACAGTCGCGAGGGGATAAGGGATAAGGGATAAGGGATTAGCGAAAGTGAGAGATCAGTGAAACTTCCGTGAAAAATCGAAGGGAATGCAATCCGCCTTTGGCATGGCGGCCAGGCTTGGGACTTGGCGCGCAGTGGGACAACTGGTGCAGCATTTGCCATCGTCGTCGTCGTCGCCGTCGCCGTCACACATGCTCTCCGCGGCAGCGCGGGGGCTCGGTGTGCGACCAGCTCTAGCCCGCGCTTATCGATCATCGGCGGAAATGGCGGGTGGAGTGTCGCTCGTTCAGGGTTCCTCTCGTGGGATCGGACGTGAATTTGTACGCCTTTCGATTTTCCTTTCCTCCCCCCCCCCACCTCTCTCTCTCTCTCTCTCTCTCTCTCTCTCTCTCTCTCTCTCTC